CTTTCCATATCATACTAACTTCCCTTCTTTCATATGATTCCCTGCACTCTGCCGAGGGTTTGGTTATGAGTCTTAGTGTCTGCTTTGAAACACTGCTAGGTAGAGTCTTTCAGATGCCTTTTGTGATAGACTCCTGTCATAAGTTCAATGCACATCCCATTTGTCTTTCTAAATGAGGATTAATCACCTTCGCCTGTGTCCACTTTCTTGATTATCTTCTTTAGGTGTGTAGATTTCATTATGTTTATCATGTCTTGTAGGTCTATATAAGCGAGTATATACCAAGTTTGTCTTTCTCCTTCTGGGATACTTCACTCAGAATGATCTTTTCTAGATCCCACCACTTGCCTGCAAATTTCATGATTTCTTCCTTTTTGATTGCTGAGTAGTATTCCATTGTGTAAAAATACCACAGTTTCTGTATCCATTCCTCCGTTGATGGACATCTGGGTTGTTTCCAAGTTCTGGCTATTACAAATAAAGCTGCTATGAACATGGTTAAACAAATGTCCTTGTTGTGTACTTGAGCAAATTTTGGGTATATACCTAGGAGTGGTATAGCTGGGTCTTGAGGTAGCACTACTCCTAGTTGTCTGAGAAAGCGCCAGATTGACTTCCAGAGTGGTTGAACCAGTTTACATTCCCACCAGCAATGGAGGAGGGTTCCCTTTTCTCCACAACCTCTCCAGCATGTGCTATCACTTGAGTTTTTCATCTTGGCCATTCTGATGGGTGTAAGGTGATATCTCAGGGTCGTTTTGATTTGCATTTCCCTAATGGCTAATGAGGTTGAGCATTTCTTTAAGTGTTTCTCTGCCATTCGACGTTCCTCTTTCGAGAATTCTCTGTTTAGCTCTGTTCCCCATTTTTTAAGTAGATTACTTGGTTTGTTGCTTTTCTGCTTCTTTAGTTCTTTATATATACTTGATATTAGCCCTCTGTCAGATAAAGGGTTGGTGAAGATTCTTTCCCAATCTGTAGGCTGTCTATTTGTTTTGATGACAGTGTCTTTTGCTTTACAGAAGCTTTTCAGTTTCATGAGGTCCCATTTATTGATTGTTGCTCTTAGAGCCTGTGCTGTTGGTGTTCTGTTCAGGAAGTTGTCTCCTGTGCCAATGAATTCTAGGCTGTTTCCCACTTTTTTTTCCAGCTGATTTAGAGTATCTGGTTTTATGTTGAGGTCCTTGATCCACTTGGACTTTAGTTTTGTGCAGGGTGATAGATATGGATCTATTTTCATTTTTCTGCATGTAGACATCCAGTTGGTCCAGCACCATTTGTTGAAGATGCTGTCTTTTTTCCATTGAATGGATTTGGCTTCTTTGTCAAATATTGAGAATTCATAGGTGTGTGGGTTTATTTCTGGGTCTTCTATGCGATTCCATTGATCCTCCTTTCTGTTTCTATGCCAATACCATGCAGTTTTTATTACTGTTGCCCTGTAGTACAGCTTGAGATCGGGAATGGAGATACCTCCAGATGATCTGTTGTTGTCTTTGGTTGGGCCAGGCATTGGGTGAGCATTCTCTGCTTTGTCTGCTAGGTGACTAATCTAGTTAAAAGGTGTCATCTTCAGTCTTAAAAAAATTGAAAGAAAGAAAGGAGATCATGAATCTGAGAGAGCAAGATCAGGGTTGGAGGGAGAACAGGGAAAGAGGAAAATTTTGTAATTAAGCTTTAATTTCAAAATTTAAAAAAAAATATCTTAAAAAAACCCCTTATGATCCTGAATTCAATCCTGCTCTTGCATACTTTCCCAAATGTTAATACTTGTGCAAATGAATTAACTTTATTTATAGTTTCCTTGTTTGAGAGGTGCTGTTTCACCTTGTATTCTTTTCCTTGGAAATTAAACTCTCAGAACGTGTTTTATGAATGAGGACAAGGCTTTCAGCTCAGAAGGCAGGCTGCCATTCGGTTTACACATGTTCTCTCAGGTGTATTCTAGAATTTTTGGCAGACTCAACAATGCTACTTTGTGAAGTGGGGGAGGTACCTATATAATATTTTCCTTCAATAGCTTCATCAGAATAATTCAAGAAAGAAGTTTTCTATAGCAAGAGATGACTTGTAAAAACAACATTGCATAATCTTTTAATCATATGCAAAGAAATAATTGAATAATGTAATTTCCTTGTAAATATGAAATATTTAAATGATTATAATATTTTTTGATTAACAGTGGAATTAACAGTTTTTTCTTAAATTATGAAATGTATAGCTAGAATTTAAGTGTAGCATATTACTTCCCAAACTAATCTTTTTACTAGATTTGTTGAAGTCAATGCAAATTTATAACTCAATTTATGCAACTTTCAGATTGTCACAAGAAACAGAGAATTACTCTGACTTAAGTAAACTATTAATTTTAATAAGAAAAATTTATGCTTCCCCACTCTTAATTTAAAGAAATGCAAAAAAATGTTCTAAATTTATTTATATATTTATATCTATATTTTCATTTTATTTGTTTTCATTTTTTAATTATATTGTGCATTTGCATATTTTGGCTGCATGCATGTCTGTGCACCATATAGGTGCCTGCTGTTCACAGAGGCCACATGAGGACTTGTAACCCACTGAATAGATTTATGGATGGCTGTAAACCATCATATAGGTGTTGGTGGTATAACCCAGATCTTCTGTAAGAACAGCCAGTGTTTTTAATGCTGAGGCATCTCTCCGGTTCCTAATAACATATTGTAATGACATAAAATTCCATATGATTTTACTGGATACAGTCTGAGGCTTTGATATGTTAAGAATAATGATCAAATCAGTGTAATTATTATATTCATCACTCAAGAATTTATCATGGTTTGTGATGAACATTTTCCTGAGGGATCAATTCTTTTATAAAGAAGAAAATGAAAAGAAGTTAGTCAATATTGAGAGAATGTCAGCCCTCATTTTTACCTCTTTAGTATCAAAATAACATTTGCATAAGGAAGTCCAAACTTTCTTTGAAAATCCTTGCAATTTGCTCAACTTTTTGTTCAACGTTCTGCACAGTTCAAAGTATGCCAGTGAAGTCATTAGTATTTCTTTAGTACAGTGCTTTTCAGCCCTTTAACATATTAATATTTATTGTTAAATTGTGCGACTGTGTGAGTGTATGTACATGTGAGAACAGTTGCCAAAGTTAGATCTGAAGATGGTGTTAGATAGTTTAGAGCTGAAGGTAACAGCTTATTATAAGCCATCTGAACCAGGAGCCATCTGAACTAGGAGGTAGGAGCTGACTGTAAGAACACACATGCTCACAACTCTTGAGTTTAATCTCTCTGCCCGCTTCTACGTCTCCCAGTGCACAGGACCCCTGGCATGGGGTGGGGGGAAGCTGGACTTCTGCATTGTAATGTGTGCCTGTGATGCCAGCTTGCTGGAGCTCAAGCAGGGTGCTCAGAAGAGTTACTGAGTTCAGAGAACTCAGAAGAGTTCTCTGTTGGAGGGAGTTCTTTGTATGCCTTTCCTCTCTAAGCTGGAAGATACTTCAATATCATTTTAAGCTGAGGTCTTTGTAGATGTCTATTACAGGCCTCATTCTTTTTTGGGGGGGTTAATTAATATTATTTTTATTAATAACAGTTTATTCACTTTGTATCCCATCTGTAGCTCTCTCCCTCCTCCCCTCCCTATACCACTGTCCCTCCCTCTTCTCCACCCATGCCCACTGATGGAGGATGTCTTCCTCCCCTTCCTTCTGATCCTAGTCTATCAGGTTGCATCAGGAGTGGCTACACTGTCTTCCTCTGTGGCCTGGTAAGGCAGCTGCCCCCTCGGGGGGAGGTGATCAAACAGCAGGCCAATCAGTTCATGTCAGAGACAGCCCTTGTTCCCATTACTATGGAACCCACTTGGACACTGTACTGCATGGGCTACATCTGTGCAGGGGTTCTAGGTTATCTCCATGAGTGGTGCATGGTTGGACTATCAGTCTCAGAAAAGACCCCTGTACCCAGATATTTTGATTCTGTTGCTCTTCTTGTGGAGTTCCTGTCCTCCGCAGGCCTTACTATTTCCCACTTCTTTCATAAGATTCCCTGCACTCTGCCCAAAGTTTGGCTATAATTTTCAGCATCTGCTTTCATACCCTGCAGGGTAGAGTCTTTCAGAGGCCCTCTGTGGTAGGCTTCTGTCCTGTTCCCTGTTTTCTCCCTCTTCTGGTGTCCATCCTCTTTGCCTTTCTGAATGAGGATTGGTCATCTTACCCAGGGTCCTCCTTCTTGACTAGTTTCTTTAGGTGTACAGATTTTAGAGAATTACATTTAGAACACTATCTCTTGAAGTTGGGCTTCACATTTCTTTAGCTCAATTATGTACTATTTACAGATTCATATATACATACGTATGTATGTATGTATGTATTCTCAGTGTCTTCTATGATATCTGAATCATAGTAATCATTCAACAGATGCACATTGTAAAATGAAGAAGAAAAGAACAAGGAAGGAAAATGTTAGGACAGAGAAAAAAGTGAAATAAATCAAATGCTATAGCATTGGTTATTATTTCTATTTCTCTTGTTGATGTGATTTTCACTTCATTTCTCAAAGATAAGTAACTACTATAGGAATTACTATAGGAATTAAATATATCATTGGTTTTCATGTTAAAGCAGTCTTCTACTATATTCCCTTACTAAGTTTCATTGACTCAATGAAGTTAGATTACAAACGATAGTAGGATAAATGGATAGATTGATAAATAGGCAGATGAGCAATCACTCCATTTCTCCATCTTGTTTCACAAGCTTATTTTGCGATTAGTTTGATGATAAACAGGTAAACCTTCTTCTTTGTAAGCACAGTGAGTATTTGCCTAGAATTACATTTTCTTCTTCTACTGTGGAAAACAGTCCTAACACTAGAGCAGGAAGTGGCTTGTCAGCACCAAATCCCTAGAGTACTTTTCTTTACTACAGATAAGACCAGTCATTGTGATGGTGCCAATCATTAGTTAATTCCTATGGATAAGTATGTATTATATTTTTCTTTCAGGGTTTAAGCTTGAAACGACTGGAGGCAGTACAAGGAGGGAGAGAGGTAAGAAAGCATAAAAGGTGGAATAGAGGGAAGAAGATAACGTGCTGTGGTGGCATGGTGATAGTGACTAATGTTGGCATTGTGAATACATGTGTGTAAACATATATGTACATACATACACATGCATATATGTACATAAGAGCATATATACATAAAATATATGTATATATTTTCCCATTCATTATGGTGAAGTGAAAGCAGGTTTTGCATGTGTTTAAATAAACATACTATTTATGTAAGTAACATATATGCTTATTTCAATGAAGTGGAAGAAAATACTGTTCACCAAGGTAATGAAATGTGTGTATTATAATGGGTTTCTGCAGAAACATGACCCTCAAAGGGTTTAGAAAAGCCTTTTCAGCAAAATATTTAAAAGCCTACTGGGGAATTGGCAGAATTCATGTCAGGCTGGAGTGTGTACAAAGTTGGTGTGCAGTTGTTGTGGTCACATTGAGTTATTAAATCTTCTTTAATAGATGCTGATTTCCTCAAATGCATCGTAAAGACAGTGAACTCACATAGTAGCGGTATGGTATCGTATTAGAGATGCTTTTGTCTGCTAATCAAAGGCTGATGGCAACTGCCAAAATTCTCTCTATACTTGATGTACAAAATTTGACTCCATAACTCAAGTTAATGGGAGGCATGGGACGGGCAGAATGTTTGATTCAATAAATCTATATTTTCGTTGTAAAAAATTCATTATTATTTTCTCTGAAATTTATATAACAAATCATTGGCAAAAGTGGAGATGTTTTTCTGTTACCAAATAAAACAAATCTTCCTCCCACCATCACTGTGGCTTCATCCTCTTCAAACGGACTTCTTTAGTGAGTGACATTTGCTCCTTTTCCTCCCTATTCTAATTTCTTCTTGTGTATTTTCAGTATTTGACATTTTCTTTCCATTCTTGTCATTGAGAACCTGTTTTCCTTGCTGTGCTGCTTTTCATCCAGGGGAGTATTTTCTCTTGGTGGCTCACATCAGAAAAATAACTAGGGAAGGTGAAATATAGGTAAAATCTTTAGACTTCTTTTTTTTTTTTTTTTTTTTTGATACCAAAGACCAAGACTGCAGACACGATTTGGCTGATGCACAGTGAACTCACAGAAGAAGAAGGCAGCATGCACACAGCTGCAGGTTCATGTCACTTAAAACTCCAGAGCTGATCATGGGAAGTGTGCAAAAGATCCCTCCCTTAACCGAAAAGCTACTTGCAATTGATAATGGTGGGGAAAGGGAAAATGAGTTTGTCTGCTGCCATGTCACTGGGTATGTTAACCATTCTCCAGGGCGGGCACCGCACCCAGGAGCAGCTGATCAACATAGAACAGGCACAGTGCACTTCAGAGACTTTTGCTTCAGGCATTTTGTCTCCTTTGTTTGTTTTGGTTTTTATTTTTTATTTTTTTGAAAAAGAGAGAGAGAGAGAGAGAGAGAGAGAGAGAGAGAGAATGAATATAAAGGAAGTTGAGTTGGTAGGCAAGTGTGGTGGGATGTGGGAGGTGTTGAGCAAGGACAATTCATGATCAAAATATATTGTGTAAAAATTAAATAAAATAATTGATTCTGAAGCATGATGGCTTCTTGTTTCATGTTAATTTTCAGTTCTAAAGGAGAAAAACATTTTATCAAATCTTAACCAAATTCATATCATATATCAGGTAAATCTTATTCACAGCCTAAGGGTGCTAAACAATTTAAAAAAATGTCGTTAAAACAGTGGAAGGATAAGGATTGGAGAGATAGCTCAGCAGGTAAAAACACACTGTTCTAATAGAAGACTCATGTTCAGTTCCCATCATCTACATGGCAGCTTACAATCATCTGTAACCCCAGTTCCAGAGGATCTGACTCTTCTGGCCTTCACAGACACTGTATGTATGGATATATACTTCTAATTTTCTCATTGCCTTTATTTCATTTTTATTATAAATGCATTTATGTGTAAGAGCATGCCAGTGGTGTGCTTTAAATTAAAATATATTGTCTCAAGAGTATTTTATGGCTTATGGGAAAATCTTATATATGTACGTATTATATACATATATGCTTATGTATTATATAAAAAAGAAAGAGAGACAGACAGACACAGAGGGAGAGAGAAGGAGGAGGCATTAAACTGAGGTCTCTAATAACTACGAAGAAGATTTGATCATCAAATCAATACTAGCTCAGTAATGACTTCTCCATCTGACCCTTTCCTTGATCTGCATATAGAAAACAAATGTGGGCAATTAAAATTCAAAACAACTACTTTATTTTTTGATGGGGTTTCACTGGGTAATTTGAAGCCTTCGATTTAATCTAAGCACTCAGATTAGCTCTACCAATGACTTTGAAAGTGATCTGTCTTATGGCAGCTGACTGTAGAAGAGCTGGTGATAATTAGGTAAAGTGCATGGTGGAAGCCATTTTGCCAAGTCTCAGAGGTAGCTCATCTGTAAACAAAGATGTAATTACCATCTCTCTAGGAGAAGTGACAAGAGTCTCGCTCAGTTTGCACATTACAAAGCAGTGCAATGTGACTCTGAACAGTTACATTTTAATATGTGGGTTTGTCAAGATCCCCAAACAGTCCCTTAGAATTTCTCATCTTGAGCCCATCATGACTGATAAAGATTTCACTACAATGTGCTGCTTAAGATGAATTACTTTGTCTTAATTCAAATGACAGACATTCCCAATAGGTGTTATAATACTAAGAACCTATTGGCAAATATTTAGAAGAAGGTTTAAGAAATGTCATTGAAAATGTTCTGTTCAGTTCTTGAGGTAATGACAACAGCTTGAGCATGCATGGGAAATAGAAGCAGGCAGTAATGTACTATTTAAGTAAAGTAAATCCTGTTAGAAAGCTAACAGTCAGGCAGGAAGACCGGATTTGGATACCATTCTCTACTGCAAAAATCCACATTTATCACTTCACAGAAAATAAAAGATGGTTTATTCTGGAGGCAAACCTGAGTAATCATGGCTGAGAAACACAAATTTAGGTTACTGCAATTTCCGTTTTCCATCACAGACTCAGTTTCGTAAAGTTTTATCCTAACAGAATGAAAAAATCACAAATCAAGGTACTTTCAAATACGTTGGTGGAAACAGCAAGTGTGTGTTAACACAGCACTGAAATATCATCTGAAGGTCTCAGATGTTATCTTAGTGTTTTGGTTGGTGGATAACTAGGGTTTTGTTAAGTAAATATACTACAAAAATTTTTATCTGTCTCAGAATATTAATTAGGTCAATCTCCTCAAAGGAATGGGGGGGGGGGGCAGAGAATGGTTCTTTAGCGGGCTAAAGATAGCCCAAGATAAATTGTAAGTAGGCTCTGGCCCTGCAACGTTCCATGTTCTCCCCAGTCATTGAAGTTTTCATCAGTAAATTGGCCTTTACAGACACTTCCTCTTCTCAGGAATTCTCATTCACACTACTTCTGTATTAACTATACACTACAAATAAATTATGTTAATGGAGGACCTGGAGATGCGTATTACCAGGGTCATGTATTATAATGATATTAAAAAAAAGATAATAGGTGCATAACCCTGCCAATGTATTGGTGTCTTCTCAAGTCGCTGCATGCACAGTGCGTGTACTTATGGAGGGTGATCCTACAGTCAGAGAACGGCTTTGAGAATACTCTATAAAATGGGACCGTGTAACTGCTATTCTTCTTCTGATGAAATGGGTTCCTCAATTCGTTGGAACCTACAACTCATGCAAAAGCCTCACGTAGGCTTCACGAATACAAATAGAGATGAATACAAATAGGGAACTGTCCCTCAAAGAACTTATTTTTACTTACAATGATTTTTATTAGAACATCAGGCAAAATAAAAGTGTTATCTCCTATGAGAGTTTTTTGAGGGTTGTATTTTACTACCATTTTAAGAAGGATTATATTATGTAAACATAGCCTTTTCTTGACATATACTCATGTTAAGTATTATTTAAGCATGTAATATCCTCATGGGGGCAATTATTTTGCTACATTTTGAATGTCATTGGCATTAGGCTTGCATAGCTTTGCATTATGTATGCCTTGAAAAACTACACGTTTCTATTTTAAATTGAAAATCAGTCTGGCCTGAGATCTCAAAGCAAGAAATTTAGAAAATGAAATAAATCCTATTCTGGATGCTTAAATAATTTCTTTATATGACATTAAGTAGAAGGAACAATAATATAGATATCTTATTTATGATTTAATGATAATTATTAAGCAGAATATTTATTACCATGTTTTTTCTTATTTATGTTATTCTTGTCATTTCTTACATGTCTGTGAGGCCTCTAGAAAGAATTGTTTTTAATAGGGTAAAAGAAGAAAACTCTGATTTCCAAGAATAGAACAAAAATGATGAAGGGAATACTTTTCTTAGAAGTAAGTGTCAACGAAAAGTGTCGAGGTGAGAGTGTTCTTAAGGATCTAATATTTTATATAATTTCTTTTCTTTTTTGTTCACTTATTATTTACTACAATTTATTCACTTTGTATCCCAGCTGTGGCCCCCTTCCTTGTCTCCTCCTAGTCCCTTTACCTCCCTGTTTTCCCACTATGCCCCTTCCTTAGACCACTGATAGGGGAGGACCTCCTTCCCTTCTATCTGACCCTAGCCTATCAGGTCTCATCAGGAGTGTCTGCATCATCTTCCTCTGTAGCCTGGCAAGGCTTCAACCTACCCTAGAAGGTAGTTATCAGAGAGCCAGCCACTGAGTTCATGGCAGAGACAGCCCCTGCTCCCCTTATTAGGGTACCCACCTGGAGACTGAGTCTATGGGCTACTGAGTCTATCTGAGCAGGGGTTTTAGGTCTCAATTTTTTTTATAATTAAATTTATTTATTTTTATTAATTACAGTTTATTCACTTTAGGTCCCAATTTTTTTTTTTTAATTTTATTTTTCTTTTTAGTTTCATTTTGTTAACTCTGTGTTCTAGCTGTATCCCACTCCCTCATTCCCTCCCCAACCCCACATTCCCTCCCTGGTCTCT